AACTCCCAGAATTCCTGAGCCAGCATGGGGGAACTATGGCCCCCCTCATGACTGGTGGACTTCAACTCCCAGAATTCCTGAGCCAGCATGGGGGAACTATGGCCCCCTTCATGACTGGTGGACTTCAACTCCCAGAATTCCTGAGCCAGCCATGCTGAGGGGAAAGGGAGAGGTTTCCAAGCTGAGCCATGCCGGCTCAGGAATTCTGGGAGTTGAAGTCCACCAGTCACAAAAGAGCCAAGGTTTCCTACCCCTGTCCTTGACTTACAAGCGCAGTTGAGCCCAAAATTTCTGTTGCTAACTGAAGACAGTTGTTCAGTGAGTTTTGCCCCATTTTACGCCTTTCTCACAGTTGTTAAGTTAGTCACACGGGAATCTGGGTTTCCCAGTGAATTTGCTTATCAGAAGGTCTCAAAAGGGAATAACGTGGATCTGGGAGACTACGACCGTCATAAGTCTGAAAAATGGTCTTAAGTCACTTTTTTCGGTGCCACTGTAACTTCAGTCATTAAATAATTTAATTTGTAATTTAATAACAATAATAATAAAGTTGGAAGAGACCTTGGAGGTCATCTAGTCAACCCCCTGCTCAGACAGGAGACCCTATACCCATTTCAAACAAATGGCTGTCCAGTCTCTTCTTAAAAACTTCCAGTGTTGGAGCATTCACCGCTTCTGGAGGCAAGGAGTTCCACTGGTTAATTGTTCTCACTGTCAGGAAGTTTCTCCTTAATTCCACGATGCTTCTCTCCTTGCTTAGTTTCCATCCGTTGCTTCTTGTCCTGCCTTCAGGGGCTTTGGAGAATAGCTTGACTCCCTCTTCTTTGGGGCAGCCCCTGAGATATTGGAAGACTGCAATCAATAATAATAATAATAATAACAACAATAATAACAACAACAACAATAATAACGATGGTGATGGTGATGATGATGATGATGATGATAATAATAATAATAATAATAATAATAATAATAATAATAATAGAGTTGGAAGGGACCTTGGAGGTCATCTAGTCCAACCCCCTGCTCAGGCAGGAAACCCTATACCATTTCAGACAAATGGCTGTCCAGTCTCTTCTTAAAAACTTCCAGGGTTGGAGCATTCACCGCTTCTAGAGGCAGGTTGTTCCACTGGTTAATTGTTCTAACAGTCAGGAAGTTTCTTCTTAATTCCAGGTTGCGTCTCTTGTTGGTTAGTTTCCATCCGTTGCTTCTTGTCCGGCCTTCAGGGGCTTTGGAGAACTCTATTTTATAAATTTAAAAATGCGTGGCTTTTTTTAATGGCATTTTGTGGGATGAAAATGGATCTAGCAGGTTCTGAGTTTGGACTCACACAGCTCCTTTCCTCCAATGTCTTAATTAGCATTTCCCCCCCCCCCCAAAAAAAAACAATAACAAAAAAAAAGACGCTTTCCTGAAAATTTGGGAAAGCTTGTTCCTTTTGCAGAGCAGATGTTGCAGAGCTGCATGGATTATTTTGGATAAATGGAACTCTAAATCTTTGGGCTGTTTGGAGAGAGACTGTTGTCCCACTGGACAAGAAGAATATTAAGGAAATAATAACCTCCCTACGTTTAGGGAGGTTAGTTCTAACGTTACGGCCTGTTTCCACTTGAAATTCTCACGACACGAACGTCACATTTTGGACGGACTGTGTTTGGGAGAACATTTTTATGGCTGGAAGTGACTTATCCTCATGGAGTAATAAATAGCTAATCAATCACGAAGGACGCCAGGGAACAAGCTGGGCAGAGAGCTCTAAAAATTATTGGTGGGGGGGAGATGATCAAATAAATTCTGCTGATTTTGAAGGTGAGGTCATTGCTGATCCAGAGTGCATCATCGTAGCATTTAAGTCTTTAAACTCTTAAAAGTAGCTCATGAAAAGATTGATTGAGAAGATGCTGGCCAAATGAGTCCTAAGCTTGGATGAAGTCTCATAAGTTGCTTCCCTTTAGGGGAGACCTATAATGTTGGGGTGCCCTCTGAGCTGGCTGGTTTTCTTGCAGACCTTTCACTACCAAACTACTTAACGTCATCAGGGCTAAAAAAAGGGGGGGGGGTTGTGAAGAGGAAGAGGAAGACTGGGGGGTCTTTGGTGCCCTCTGAGCTGGCTGGTTTTCTTGCAGACGTTTCACTACCAAACTACGTAACATCATCAGTGCTAGGAAACATCCTCAGTGCTAGAGGTGAGTAGGATTTGCAGAGAAGAGGAGGAGGAGGACGACGACGACAACAACAACTCTGGGGTCCTTATGTGATCTCTGAGCTGAATGGTTTTCTTGCAGACATTTCATTACTAAACTATAGAACATCATCAGGGCAAGAAAACCACCCAGCTCAGAGATCACATAAGGACCCCACAGTCCTCCTCCTCTCCCTCCCTCCCCCCCCCCACAACCCAATTCCCTTCTAGCACTGATGATGTTGCCTAGATGGGTCATAAAACATCTGCAAGGAAACCACCCAGCTCAGAGAGTATCAAGGACCCCACAGTCCTCCTCCTCCTCCTACTCCCTTCTAGCACTGTTGACGTTCCCTAGTTGGGTCATGAAACATCTGCAAGGAAACTATCAAACTCAGCACTAAGAACTCCACAGTCCCTCCTCCTCCTCCTCCCCCTCCCATTGATGATGTTACCTAGATGGGTTATGAAGCATCTGCAAGGAAACCAAATTCAGAGAGCAACAAGGACCCCACAGTCCGTCCTTCCTCCTCCTCCTCCTCCTCCTCCTCCTCCTCCTCCTCCTCCTCCTTGCCTGACTTGTGCGGCGAGACTGCCAAACTCCAGGAGTAGTGCTCAGGCTTTGCAACTTTTAAGATGGGTGGACCTCAATTCCCAGAATCTCCCACCTTACAATCAGCAGAATTGATATGATCCTTCTCCAAAGTAACTTTTTACAGCTCACAGTCCAGAGACGTCCTCTTGGGCGCTTCATAAAAATGTTCTCTTAAATCAGGGGTCTTCAAACTCGGTCCTTTGATGACTTGTGGACTTCAACTCCCAGAATTCCTCAGCCAGCGTGCCACGCTGTCCCATAGCCGTCCTCACCGGCACCATATTTCTCCTTCGTTTCCTGCCGCATCCCTCTCAGCTCTGCGAATCTAAGGAGTCCCGGTTCCTGGAGGGCTGTTGGGTGGCCAGATTTATTTTGGATTTGAAATGTGCTCTAGGCCAGGGCAGCAGTTTATTATCTGCATCCTCCAGAAGCCATTTGAGCCTTCCTGTCTCTGTGTCAGAAGGTCTTCCTTCTCCTCGCCCTGTCCTGGATGCAGCATGGGCCAAATTTGAGCAATGCCACCGCAAAAGCGATAAGAGCAGGCTTGCACATAGGGGGTTTCTCAGGAAGCCTGCATTGGCAGTTTGGGGTGTTTCCAGGGCCTTAAGACAGGGGTCTTCCAACTTGGCCCTTTGATGACTTGTGGACTTCAACTCCCAGAATTCCTCAGCCAGGGTGCTTTAAGACAGGGGTCTTCCAACTTGGCCCTTTGATGACTTGTGGACTTCAACTCCCAGAATTCCTCAGCCAGGGTGCTTTAAGACAGGGGTCTTCCAACTTGGCCCTTTGATGACTTGTGGACTTCAACTCCCAGAATTCCTCAGCCAGGAGGCTTTAAGACAGGGGTCTTCCAACTTGGCCCTTTGATGACTTGTGGACTTCAACTCCCAGAATTCCTCAGCCAGGAGGCTTTAAGACAGGGGTCTTCCAACTTGGCCCTTTGATGACT